ATTGAAATCAAAATAACATAGGAGGTTTACAAGGAAAGCCCTTGATCCTTGCTAGGATCTCCGACATAAAACTTTAGGAGGTGATAATGATCACCTACCTTATTGATTTGAACATAAATTCCAGAGATGAGCTTGATAATGCAATTGCAAATGATAAAGTGAGTCTAGATGAGTAAGGTGTTAGAGAATCGTGCTAATTGTGTGTGTTTTATAGGTGTATTTATAGTCTAGGTTAAGTAACTAAATGTCTGATATTTCTGAGATCCTGCTGAGCTGGTATTTACAATGTGCTTTGACTTGGTATTTCCGAATCTTAAGGCCGGTTGGAATGATTCTTCATTGTGAATGAGTCCTATGTTGACCATTTCTGCACATGTGAAAAAGAAATATAGTCGTTAAACTTGTTAGGAAATAATAATGGGGATGTTTAGGATCCCGATGTATGTTTGGGATCCTAAGACTCCTTTAAGATTCGGGCACCTGGATAGGTTTGAGGATCTTTGCCCTAACAATTTCCCTTAATTTATACCTGCAAAATATTTGAATTGATTTCAAGTATTTAAAATGTATAATTTAATTAATTGGAAATAAAGGATTCAAAATTCAAACTCTAATGGATAGAATTGTATATGTTCAAAAGATATGATTATGTTGTCAAATCACTTTTCTCTCCTTGGTTTGAAGGTAAATTTCTTCTTTCTCCTTTCTTCTTATTTTTCCTGTTTGTTGATTGCGGGTAAAGAGGCACTCCATTCTCGCTTGAGCATCCTTGATTTTCCGACGAGGACTTCATCGATTAGAGGATCCTGTCTTATGAAGAGACTTGTTCTTTTAGTGATGACGACATTGAGTCCTTGAAGTTAATCGGGGCTTTTACTTTTGATGTTATTTTCAAGCCTTTTTATGCTAAAACCCAACCTAAGTTCGTCTCTCCTACTTAGGTTTGGTCCCATCCAAACTATGTTCATGATCTGTAGGATCCTGCTTTAGGTTGATTGATTGAATCAATCTAAGGATCTAGACATGGGATCCAGCTAAGTTAGCCCATGTTTGTGATCTCCAAATTTTTGGGTCTTGTCATTTCCTGCTCAGAGCCAAAACAAGTAAATCACATCTTATTTTGAAATCAAAACAAAACAAAGGTTCTTGGAAAGAGAAATATTTCTTTATGAAACATGAATCCATCCCGCTGGTGATCTCCTGCCAAGAAATCGGGTTAGAAAAGGTAGGATTTTATTTTATTTCATTGAGGATATGAAATTCACACTTTCTTATTTTGATGCAACTTTCAAGATCGAGGATCTTGTCCTTACTGTTGAAGATACCGTGGAGAGCGTTGGGAGTTTCCTTGCTTCGCCTGAGACTAAAAGATCCTTTCGGTTCGAACAACCCAACTTTCAAGAGAGTAAATATGTTATTTCCCCCATATTGAAAGGTAAAGATCCTTTATTTGTCTATTTTTTATTCTTCATGAAGGATCCTGAACTTATTGAGCTCCTTTGTTATGTTTAGGATCCAAGGATAGACACTCTAGTGCTTGGTTCTGAAGGGTTTTGAGCATTCTAACACTCCTATGGTGTATATGCAACCCTAGAAACCTTGGATCTATGTTTTCTCTATTATACATGCAAATTTGATTTCCAAGGTTCTCAACCTAACTAGCATGTTATAGGGTACTTGTGAAATAAAAACTTTAGTAGAATAACATACCTTTTCTTGCGGTTGATTGCTTGGAGTCTTGAGAGCCTAGCACCAATAGTATGGATGCCTCAAGTGGAATCACAAATCACCAAAACACCTTGGAAGACTTGAGAAAATAGTATGCACTAAGTAGAAATCAGCCTACCCTTTGTACTCACACACTAGTGTCATTTCATGTGCCAAAGACCTCTTTATATAGTATAGATGATTACGGTTATATTCATGTAAACCCTAATACCCATGACCTTTCATTTCCATAGGATCCATTGGTTAAAAACTCCATGGACTATCCATGCAAGCTTAGCCCATCCTAAATGAACTTGGCCCATTATATATATATATATATATATATATATATATATATATATATATATATATATATATATATATATATATATATATATATATATATATATATAAGAGTCCGTATTTAATTAGTTCCTTTTGATCACTAAATTAATTAATGATCAATACTACTTAAATAATATAATTTCATATTAATATGTTATAACTTATAATATATTAATAAATCATAACTATACTATTCTCAAAAGATTACCCATATAAATTGCTTCGGTGAAGTGTAACCCAAATAGACCATGCCAGGTCGGGTCAAGTACATACCAAATATAGTTACATACTTAGACACCTTATCTAACAATCTCCCACTTGGATAAGTCTAGTAACTATAGTTGCAAGTATGACTTCAGGAACCAACCAATAATCGTAGCTTTTAAAACTCTGTTGAACTATGAAGTGCCATTTTAGATAAGTGATCATATAATCCTTTGTTCTAGATATCAGCCCGAAAAATACATGGAACAAAGTCATACTTATTGTCCAACAGTTTTTTCCCAATTTCCAATTTGTTTGACATAGAACTAAACTGAACACATCAATTTGGTTCTGAACGGGCCCATCACATGGGTCAAAACAAAATCATCGAGGGGCTTAGATATCGCTTTTAATCCTCCAAGGACTAAAAGGAACATATAAACTTCAACTCATATGCTTGTGCTACTACCTGCACGTTTTATGACATCAAGTTACTGATGCGTTTTTGTACAATCAATGCACAACCAACTCATAGGCAACAACTCATATCTCTAGGTTTGAAGATTTATATGATATTACCGTCTCACGATCACCTGAAATAAATTCCATTAAGTGATACAAGTGATCGTGGTTTTAATCCAATACATAGAACTTATGAGCACTCATGAATGTTGTAGCAACTTTTGCTATGTCTAACACCTTAGACATATACAAGCCCAATTCATGAGAGTCTTGATTCATACCTACTTCCAACATATGACTGACTGTGGAGAGTTCGAATAAAATAATTATTCTGGAAGTCAAAACATGCAAAATTGAAACAATAGCAAACAATTGACACAAGATAGCAACACCTTACTTATAAATAAACAACATCTTTTATTTAATCATCAAATTTCAATTACATTTTACAAGTTTCAGAGATAGCTATCTAATCTGTAAAACTAATATCTTCCTTCAGCCCGATGCGCCTCTCATGATGCAAATGCCTAACCCTAGTCAGTCCCTTCATGAGGAGATCCGGTGGGTTCTCTTCTGACGATACCCTCTTTGCCACAAGAAGTCCTTCTTCTATCTTGTATCTTATGAAGTGATATTTTCTATCAATATGTTTGGATCTTCCATGATCTCTTGGTTCCTTAGCTATGGTAACCGCACTATTGTTGTCACAGAAAATCTCCATAGGCTCCTTTATAGCTGGTACAACTCCAAGGTCTCCAATGAAGTTCTTCAGCCATATCGCCTCCTTTGCCTCTTCACTCGCTATTATGTACTCTGATTCACACGTTGAATCAGCTACCATCTCCTGCTTGGAACTTTTCCAAGTAATCGCTCCTCCATTCAGGTTAAACATCCAGCCCGACTGAGAGCGGAAGTTATCACTGTCGATCTGAAAGTTGGTGTCGCTATACCCTACTACTCTCAAGTAATCACTCCCACCAAGGGTAAGAATCCAATCCTTAGTCCTTCGTAGGTACTTGAGAATGTTCTTTACCGCAGTCCAGTGAGCCTTGCTAGGGTTCCCCTGATATCTGTTGACCATGCTCAAAGCAAAGGCCACATCAGGGCGGGTACAAGTCATAGCATACATGATCGAGCCAACAGCGGAAACATATGGTAATCAACTTATCTCAGCCTTTGTACTCGGACTTTGAGCCTTACTCAGTTTGGCATTGCTTTGGATCAGTAAATCACCTATCTTGGAATTCTACATGTTGAACCTCTTTAACACCTTGTCCAAGTAGGTGCTCTGACTAATGTCAGTTAGTCTTTTACTCTTTTCTCTCACTACTAGAAAAAAGGCCTTTTACGACGCTCATTGCGCGTCGTAAAACGCTCAGACGACACGCAAATGCGCGTCAAGGAAGGCCTTGTCATAAAGAGAGATGACGCGCTTTTGCGCGTCGTCTACAGACGACGCGCATTTACGACGCGCATTTACGATGCGCATTTACGACGCGCGTTTACGACACGCAATGCGTATCAAGGAAGGCCCTGTCATAAAGGAAGACGACACGCATTCGCATGTCGTAACCTTACGACGCGCGTGTTAATGACACGCAATGCGTATCAAGAAAGCCCCTGTCAAGAAAGGCCATGTCATAAATGAAGATGACACACATTTTTGCGTATCATAATTTTAAATGTTTAAAAAAAACATTTTTAATAGATTTACTAATTTTCAAATTAAATTTAAATTTAATGCCTCATAATAGAAAATAAAATATCATTAACAAAAAATATAATCCATTTCATAAAATTTAATGTCATATACAAATAATCATTCCAATAGTAAGTAAATGTAACACATTGCTAATATTGCATAATATTTATTATTGAAAACAAAACATGTACAACATTAAAAGAAACCCTTGAATAAATTCTCCTTTGACAATCACCTTTGACAATTTTCTTTCTAAAAGAATAACCTGAATGCAAGAACTTTGAGAGGCTGCAAGGCACTAATATGTCAAATTTGTTTGTCTGCATGTTTTCAGCCAAATATAGGAAATTTCAGGAGTATGTATACATGTCATTTACATATATATATATATATATATATATATATATATATATATATATATATATATATATATATATATGACATAACATAAAGCATACATTGACATAACATAACTAATTCCAAACAATTCAAACATGACAAAGGGAAAACAAAGGTGGCATACCTGATGCATTCACCCTCATCTTACAAGAAACCCTGCATTTGCTTCAATTTGCCAATTTCACGTTTCAGGTATCGATTTAAAGAATTGGTGGGATCGCAAGCATGATGTACCGGAGGGCGTTTCTGTCGGCGATCGATACGCAATCATACCCCGTTTGGGATCGAGCCGTTTGGAACGTGGATCGTGACTACTTTGGCGAATCCTGTGACTATGGTCCCCAACTCCTCCATGACTCCATGGAACATTTACACAATACCCTTCTCCACCCATGGACCCCACCTGATAACATATATAAGAGTGAAATGACCATTTTACCCTTCTCGATGTAAAAAATGAGAGAGAAAAAAAAATTAGGGTTATGTTTACCTCATGGGCAACGCCTTTACTAGGGTAGAATTTTCCACCTTCATGTCTATGTAAGGATATATACAACACCTATAACAATTAAAACCAGTATAATCAGAAATAGTCAGATAGTAATCTACAATGTTATTTATGATTTAAAATAAATTAACCAACTATATTGTTTTATATTTATGTTGAGTTTCATTTTTTTATAGGAGAATGAATGATAGTTAATTTTACATGGCCTCCTGCAATTTATTACCAGGAAACACTTATAGTGTTTATGTTTTTTTTAAATATCACAAACTCTTTGTGGTTAACCAAGAAAAAAATTATTTCTGTGGTTAAACCAAAAAAAATACAGAATATGGAGTTAACCATATAATAATAATATCATTAACAAGTTGAAGAAAGTAGTATCAATTATTGCACGAATAAAAAAAATAAAAATAAAATTACTGTTTTGTTCTGCTCAAATATTTCTTGAGTTCCATTTCCATGGTGTACATCCTGTAAATAAATAAGGTTAGATAACTACAACTCATAGTTTTTTTTTTTAATTACAAAGATTATTACCCAATCAACAATCAAGACTTTTTTTGCTCCTGCAGCTTGTGCTGCTGATGCAGCAATGGCTGCATTGTTATGCAGACAGAATCCCATTGCTTGTCTCACTCCAGCATGATGACCTGGAGGACGCACCTGACCCATGACCCACGACCCATGATCCATCAAACATAAAGATTAATGTACCTAGCAAATAACTGTTCTCTAATATTACAAATTTTATAAAATTTTAATTTGCAAAACTAAAAGATTAAACATAAAAGCTCATTAGAATCCAAATAACTGTTCTCTAATATTACAAATTTTATAAATAAAAATGGGTTATATTGCAAATTTTCATTCCATTCCTTCAAAATGAGAATTTACAAAAGAGAAGGAATCACACACACCTGCAGTTGCCAGGCTGGCAGCAATTGCTCGAAGACGATCTGGTCTTTCTGGATGAGGAAGAGACTTCCTTTTAACCTACAAATTATAAAGATCAAAAAATGATGACATCAAAGTTTTTTATTTATAAAACCATCAAGACTATTAAAAATAATTTTTTTAAAAAAATGAAAATTGAAATATCAGGAAGAATTCTTACTTCAGAATGAAGCAACATCTTGTCATCCAAATTAACAAAAGTAAAGGTCATATAAAACTATGTTAAAAAACATTTGATGTATAAAAACTAAAAAGAAACTTTTGCAAGGTCTTACATAATTATTCATTTGAAGATGACACTAACAAAATACTACCAAAAAATCATATCCAAAAACCACAAAAGAACATGCTTCATACCATCCTCAGTCAAACAAACTGAATCCCATATCCTGCAAAAAAATATGAAAAAAAAAAGATAGTCAAAAACATGCAACCATAAAAAAAACAGTTTAAAAACAAACAATGAAGATCAATGGATATAAAAGAGCTTACATCATCGGACTCTTCTTTCTCTACAACTTTCTCCTCTTTCTTTAGCTCAGCTGCAGCAGCTGCAGCGGGAGCAGCACCACTACCACCTGTGGCGGCAACTGCAACACCACCACCGCCACCTGAAGGAACAGAAGCCAACTTCTCCCTTCCATATGCAATCAATTCGGTGATATCTTTACCCTTAACCTCCGACAAGAGTAATTCAATTCTATCTTCATCAGCATCAGCTCCAACTGCATTAGTGAATATGATCATTATAATTGCCATTAAGCAAATCATACAGTTTATGAAGTTCAGGGTTTACATGGATGCAACATGGCACCTTAATTAGTGAGGACTGTTGGAACAGGTCCCAACCTTCTCACTCACACAACACAAATATATATGTATGCAGAAAGCAAATATAGAGATATGAAAGTACTTTGGACTCAAAGCTGCTGCACACTGACTTCTCATATTCAGAAAACAAAGGCTATATATATAGCCTGTAGTACATATCCAATGGAAACAAACTAAAACAGTCTACAAGGTTCTTATCTCTTGATCTTGCGAAACTTACTATTTTCTTCCTTGATTCGAACTTTCTTGTTTGGTCACTTCGAATCTTATTACTTGCTATTCAAACCACTTAGGTTTGATCTTGCTATCTTGCTTCAATCTTCCTCTATCTTGCTTAGACTCTTGCTGTACCTTGCTTCAATTTTCTTTCCTTCTCGATCAAAAGTGATCGCTTGCTACTTCTTTCTTCTTTCTTGCCTGCTAGCATGTCACACAGTTGTGTTGTTTTTTTTTCTTCTTCTTCTTTCTTCTGATCACAAAGACCTAGCACCACCGAGTCCTTTTTCCTGCTTCACTCTCTACAATGAATCTATCTCTCGGCAATGAAGGTGATCGGCTCCAACAATGATCGACCTCTTCTCTCTTGTCTCTCTTCTTTCTTCTTTCTACTTTCTTCATTCTTTTTTCTTCATGTCTTTTCTCTTTCTTCTTTCTTCTTTCTACTTTCTTCATTCTTCTTTCTTCTTGTCTTTCTTTCTTTCTTCTGATTGTTGCCAATCAAACATTCTTTCTCTTGCCGACCTGCTGCTGCTTCTACTGCTCTTGTTGCCCTGCAGCCAAAAGATCCTCCCTCCAAAAGATCCTCCCAAAATCATCAATCACAATTACAGAAGTTACAGTTAGATATTCCACAAAGTCCAAATCTAGAAAATGAAGATGCTCACATAAAGCCCAATCACGATGGATCAATGATTTCAAAAACGAAATGACAGATTAAGGGTGAATCGAATTGTAAAAATTATCTATTTCTAAGCGAGCATCCGAGTGTAATTAAGATCTATGCCGCATCACAACAAATCAAATATTCAAATTAACGAAACTTACGAGAGATTGGAATTGTCCGTACAGTTTTGTTCCAGTGGCAGATGAGGCATTTTATCAAACATGTTGCGTGCATCATCGATTCTTCCCCATTTACTGTATAAGTCGATTTCTCGATTTCTATTTCTCTTTCTCCCATTCCAGTCTCCGACTTTCTGTTGCTGTGATTTGAGTAGTGCCACCACTCCTCCGAAGCCTCTGAGTTTTCTCGGTCTAGGTCACCAGACCTAATGTTGCTGGCAAGGGCAGGCGAGGTGAGATTGCCGGAGATGAGGGGCTCCATCGGCTGGGTGATGCTGGAAAGCGTTGGACAGTGGGGCAGGGCTAGACGGAGGTCAGAGGTGGGAGGCGCCAACACCAAGAGAAACGTCGGAGGTGGGAGAAGCTGTCGACGTCGAGAACCGAGAAGAAGAGAAAGGGTTTGTTGAAGTGAGAAGGAGAGAAAGGGAAGTTGAAGAGAGAATGAGCAGTACAGGAGGGCATAATCGGGGCAAGTTCTTGAAAAAAAAAGCCCTAGCTACTAGTGAAATTAAAGTGGAGGGAAAAAAAAAGGAAGGCGGGGATTTTAAGTTTTTGGGATTTCATTTTCCCCGGATGGAACGCGCGCGTTCTATTAAAATTTATAAAGCGACGGTCGTAGACGACACGCAGGTGCCCTCCGTGTTTTTTTTTTTTGTTTAGACACTAATTTTAGGGCACGCAAAAATGCGCGTCTGAAATCCTTTAAATTTTGGAAGAGATGACATTATTTTTTAGACACTCACCTTTGCGTATCATAAATCACTGCGTGTCATGGTTCGCGCGTCGTAAAAGGCTATATTTCTAGTAGTGTCTCAATATCCTTATCCCTATGATATAGGCAGCTTCTCCAAGGTCCTTCATAGTGAAACACTTCCCAAGCCAAGACTTAACCTCCTATAAAGTTGGGATGTCATTTCCCATGAGTATTATGTCATCCACATACAGTACCAAAAAGCTAACTATACTCCCACTAGCTCTGACATATACACATGACTCATCTTCGCTTATCGAAAATCCAAAATCTTTGACTTTCTCATCAAAATAAAGATTCCAACTGCAAGATGCTTTTTTCAATCCATAAATGGATTTCTCAAGCTTGCACACTCTATCAGGATACTCTGCATTGACAAAACCCTCTAGCTGACTCATGTAAACATCCTCAGCCAACTTTCCATTAAGGAAAGCGGTTTTGACATCCATTTGCCATATTTCATAATCATGAAATGCAGCAATGGCTAGCACAACCCTAATAGACTTAATCTTCGCTACTGGTGAAAAGGTTTCATCATAGTCAACTCCCTGAGTTTGGGTGAAACCCTTTGCAACCAGTCGCGTCCCATCCATATCGGTCTTCTTCTTGAAGATCCATTTGCACCTGATCGTCTTACGACCTGGTACATTATCAACCAAGTTCCAAACTTGATTGTCATACATGGACTGAATCTCGTTGTCCATAGCCTCTTTCCATTTGGCGGACTCAGGGCCTGCCATGGCTTCCCTACAGCTGTTAGGTTCATCCAAATTTACCAGTGTACTATCACTGATAAATGTATCACCTTTTGCAATAATATGGAAACCATAATAATGCTCGGGTGGATTCCTAACTCTAGTGGAACGCCTCAGAGGTACAGAGTTGTCAGTTGGTTCAACAGGAGTTTCCTCCTCATGTTGATTGCTAGTGTTTCAGGTTCCTTCACCACTTGAATCTTGAAGCTCTTCAAGGTCAATTTGCCTCCCACTGTATCCTTGGCTTATAAATCCTCTCTCTCAAAAGACCCCTCTCCTTGCCACAAAGACCACATTCTCACTGGGTCTATAGAAGAGGTAACCAAAGGATTTATGTGGGTAGTCGATGAAAATACATCGCTCACTACGAGTTTCATTCTTGTCTTGAGTCTCACGTCTCATGAAAGCCTCACAAACCCAAACCTTGATGTGGTGTAAATTGGGAACTTTTCCCGTCCACATCTCGTGAGGTGTTTTGGCAAACTTCTTGGTAGGGACTAGATTAAGGATATGGGCGATAGTCTCTAAGGCATACCCCCATAGTGAGATTGGTAACGAAGCTTGACTCATCATGGAATGAACCATGTCCAACAAGGTTCGATTACGCCTCTCAGCCACACCATTCAGCTGTGGTGTCCTAGGAGGTGTCAATTGTGAAACAATTTCACATTCCTTAAGATAGTCAAGGATTTATGTACTAAGATACTCTCCTCCTCGATCGGATTGGAGCATCTTAATGTTCCTGCCCAGCTGATTCTCCACTTCCTGTTTAAACTCTTTGAACCTTTCAAAGGTTTCCGACTTATGCTTGATTAAGTAGACATAACCATATCTACTATAATCATCAGTAAAAGTCACATAGAAGCGGTTAGCATCCGTTGTGGAAGTTCTGGAGGTTCCACACACATCTGTGTATATGAGGTCCAACAAACCTTCACCCCTGGTACAAGTACTAGTAAAGGGTGACTTTGTCATTTTTCCAAGCAAACAAGACTCGCAACTATCATCCGACTTTAAGTCAAATGACTCCAAGACTCCAGCCTTTTGGAGTTAGCCTATGCGCTTCTTTTTGATATGTCCAAGACGACAATGCCACAAGGATGCCTTATCCAAACTAGTAGAAGAATCGATATGCAACACATTATTTCCTAAGTTGTCTACAACCGACACAGTTTCATATACACCATCACAAGGTAATGCTTTAAAATAAAGAACATTATTATAAAAAGCATTAATACCACCACATTCATTATCAAATGAAAAAGTAAACCCTTGTTTATACAAACCGTGAAAAGAAATAATATTTCTTGCCTTTTCAGACGACTAACAACACTTATTCAAATCTAACATTAACCCACTACTTAGCAACAAAGAATAAACTCCAATCTTGGTGACAGGTGAAGCTTTCCTATTCCCCATGATCAAGTTTATCTTTCCTTACTCCACATCCTCGCTTCTTCTTAGGCCCGACAAATCAGAACATATATGAATACCACAACCTGTATCAAGGACCCAAGAATTAGTATGCAGTGAGTTATTAGACAATATAGTGTAAATACCAGCATGGGTAGGTTTGACCTTCCCATCCTTAACATCTTGCTGGTACTTGGGGAAGTTTCGTTTCCAGTTCCCCTTATCATGACAATAGAAGCATTCAGCTTCCTTTGGGTTGGAAGAAGGAGTGACAGAGCCACATTTGGTTCCACTTGAAGAGGAGCCATCAAGAGACTTTTCCTTGGTACCCTTCAAAGGGGTTGTCCTCTTCTTCCCTATACTTTTCCTAATTACCAGAACAGGGGCGATGTTAGGAGTAGGAGTAGTAACAACCAATTTACCTTTGAGACCAATTTCAGTGGTCTTCAAAAGTCCTTGAAACTTGTTGAGTGTGACCTCCTCCTTGTTCATGTGATAGGTCGTTCGAAACTGATCATAACAAGTAGGTAAGGAGTGCAATATGATGTTAATAGTCAACTCTGTATGGAAGTTCACATTCAACTTCAACAAACGGTCCACAAAGCTTTGCATTTTCTGCATGTGGCCCGTGACAGATTCACCATCCTTCATCCGGGTTGTTATCATGGAAGACATAATTTCATACCTCTCTTGACGATCACTCTGGTGGTAGCGGTCCATCAGGTCCATGTGCATATCAAAAGTGTAAAAGTCCTCATAGGACTTCTGGAGTTCAACTGTCATTGTGGCCAACATGATACACGCCACCTTGGTGGCATCTATCTCATGTGCCCTAAAGTCAGCGATCTCCAGTGGAGTAGCAGTAGACTCATCAATTTCTTTCAGCTCCTTGTCGAGGACATATTCCTTGTCCTCGTAACGCATGACCATCCTGATGTTCCCAATCCAATCATTAAAGTTGGAACCATCAAAGATGACTCTCCCACAAAGGTTCATGAGAGAGAAGGAGTCGGTAGGGTTTGAGCCAGAAGCGGCATTGTTGGAAGACATCTGAAAAGAAGAAAGACAAGTTTAGATTAAATATAGAATCCTTAATAAGACACCCAAATGTAATATTAAGGCTAGGACCCAACACAATACTTTATAACTTGGAAAAGGGATGCCATAATCCAAGCTACAAAATATTTGAAGGTAGGCGAATGACGATTCACCAATTTCCACCATGAAAAACGAAATAAATTATTAGGTTTTAATTAGATTGAAATTCCAAGATCTTTTGAGATTCATTGAACTTTTCAATGGCATGTTTAAATCTCGATTGTGCCCTCTCAAGTTTGTGACTGGGATGCCGAGGATCACAAACAAGGTGTGAATAACCATGCAAATTAACTCGGTACCCTTAAATTTATCACCTAATCGATGTGCCAGTTAACCACACGCACTCCACCGATTTATTATAAATATTAAGTTACCCTTTTCCACTCTTACTAGTCCATGTTAGTGTGTCGGTTAACCACACACACTCTACTAACGACTTGGTAAGGTACAAAGTGTAATTTCATGGGTTAGCACCAAATTCACATTTTCCTAAAGTAACGAAGATTAGGAATTTATAAAAGGTTTAGTTACTTTATATTTATCATTATACTTTTAATGAGAATTATAGTCCTTGTCCTACCCGTTTGGCTAATGACACTCCACCAGTCAAGGAAGTGGTGGGTGAGAGTGGATACCCATTAAGCTGCAATTTTATAGGCAACAACCTTATCCCCCCCCCCTTATAGACCGGCTTCGTGAATGAGGCCTACTAACGGTAAGACTGACTTGATCTTATACATATATATATATATATATATATATATATATATATATATATATATATATATATATATATATATATTATTAACTTATAATACTATAAAGTATAAGGGTTGAATTTTAACTTTTTAAACTCTATTGATTGGAATTAAAGTGTGTGTGAGACTTTACAGATTCCAAGACGTGAGGGCAACTTTTGAAACTATTCAAGACTTTTCAACTTCATAACTTATGAGTTTAATGGTCTATTAAAATGAAGACTCTTCGTTTTATGTAACCTATGGTTCTTTAATGACTCTTTAAAGAAGTGACTTTTGGTAATTCATAACTTGAGGACAAATTATGGACTCCATCAAGAACATTTAGATCAAGAATTACATCATCAAACAATTTGCAAATAATTCCTATGATCTACCAAAACTCATAAGCATGAATATTCATATCAACAATTTCAAGAATCATATAAACATATATAAAACTTGAAAATTTGATAATAACCTTTGAAAATGGATTAGCATAATCATT